GTAGGAACCAAGATGACCTATAACGATCTCACGGTAAGGTCGTGTAGCCGTGGATGATGCGCGGAGCGGGAATACCATCATACTAGCCATATTCATATTGTTATTGTTGGGAACATAGCCTAACAACACAACAACTGCATTAAACAGTGTAGCAATAGCAATGAGGTCGCCATAAGCATCCATCCAATGCTCCCAGCTAGAAGGACCCCCGTCCCATCTTATACGATCGATTGCGACGTCGACCCCATTCCAATAAAAAGAGCGTACAAATGTGTGCTGGCTGCAACCTCATTTGCAACATTAGTTCTTACCAGTTGCCACATCTCCTGATCCCTATAAATGCAACTCGCAACCACCCGGAATCCACAGTTCCCGTCTGGCTTCACATCCAGATAACTCTGTACGTAGCTGTGAACTACGCAGGGAATCCTACCACAATGTCGATATTGAAAGAAATCTGTCTCGAAAGTATCTATAATATCAGAAAAATTTCACATCACAATTTATTTAGGTAATTAAATTTACAAACATAATTAGTCATCGTTCAAGTAAAAAAAATCAAATAATATTATCTGTCGTATCTTGAGACGATGAGTATGTCGGGGCATACAAAGAAGTGCTTGTACGAGCCCCCGGACGACCTCTTTCCCTGTACTCCCACTTCGACGGAGCACACAAAGAAGTGCTCTTACGCCCCGGCTGACGACCTGTTTCCGTCTACCCCGATTGCGATGGAGCACATGAAGAAGTGCTTTTACGCACCGCCGTACAGCCTCCAACAGTGTACTTCCAACTCGATGGATCGCGTTTTGTTGAATTTTTCTTCTCGGGGCGACCTCTCAGATTTTCCTTAACTTCAGGTTCTATGTTCATTAGGATGAAATTGAGAGGCGATGACATGGTTCAGGTTCTATGTATCCCTATTACTAAATCTTTTTATATTTATATAGATTTATAAAGTAATGTAACGTACCTGTTGGTTTTGTACGTGGAATCTATACCGACATACCAATAATATGTCCGGAATAGACTGGCTGCTCGTGGATGCGACATGAACACACGTGTCAACGGCTGTGTGTTCGGGTCAACGTCTGTGTAAACTATGTAGTTGTTGTCGGTAGCCAAATGCAGAAGTTGGTCAGCAATATCTCGACCCCCTAGACGGTCTTTTCGCAATCGAGCTTTATAGTTATAAACTTGTTGGCAAGTAGCGTTGTCCACAAGGCTTTTCTCCTGAATTGCAGCCAAAATTGCTGCCGGTCTTGCCTGAGCATCACTCATGTCACGGATAATCTCTTTGGATGAATCGCCGAGTCTGCTGATCTGTCGATGACCCTCGGGATACACAGTCAACGCATGGTTATGAAATCCCTTCTCGTCTTCTAAAGGAAGCCAGATACACCATTTTTGGGATACCTCTTCAAATTTCACATTTAACTGAAAAAGACAGCCAATATATTTCGTCTTCGAACGTCTCAAGACAGCATTCACTAAATTTCCTAGTTTTCCTGCCTTGCCTTGTAACGTTCCCCTCGATCACACCTCAACGTCCGAACCGTTCCATCCTTATTGTGTCTCGAGATGACCAAGTGGAAACCCCATATTATTGCAATGTCTTTTGCCCATTCAATAGCTTTGTCGGGATTATCAAATAACTCATCTGTAGCGAAACAAGCTCGGTAATCTTCACCGTCTCCTCCAAAATCTTCGAGTGGCACCTGCAATATGTTACGATGTATGTTAATAATTTTACAAAAATAATAAATTATAACTTATCTCAAAATAATAATAATAATTTGTAATTTATTATATAATCAATTCTAACTTCTAACGTAATATCAAAAATTTTTATTTTATAAGATAATTAATTAATATATATAACTTAATAATTATACTAATATATTTTTTCCCTATAACAATTAATGTAATTTTATACTATTAATTTATAATATATACTAAATGTGAAGAAAAAAAATGTGATGAACAATGGAATAAAACAAATAAAGGGAAGGAAAAATGTAATGAATAAATTGTACTAATATACTAAATGTGATGAATAAATTATACTATTAATTTATAATATATACTAAATAAATTGTACTAATATACTAAATGTGATGAATAAATTATACTGTTAATTTATAATACATACTAAATACTAATTTTATTTTTTATATACTAATATATTAGTATATATACTAATATAGTACTTAATATTTAGTATAATTTTACTAATAATTATAGTACCTACTATATTAGTATAAATAATTTTTATTCATTATATTAATTACTAATAGAATTTTTAATATACATTACTAATTATTTTTAAAAATTATATTAGTATATATAAAAGATTAATTTATATATTATTATATTAATTTACAATAATTATACTAAATACAATTGTAATTTTTAATTAAAAATATTATTTTTAGTACTAATAAAAATTTTTAAAAAAATAAAAAAAGGGCCGCGCGCGGCCCTGAGTGGACCGGGCGGCCGCAAGCGGCCGCGCGCGGTCGCGACTGGGAATTCCGTCCCCCCTATAGTGCCCTGGTACTGCATGGCCGCAGGCGGCCACACGAGCGTGGCCGCGGTCGCCATGCGGCCGTACCATAAGGCGCAGCAAAGGCCGGTCGCCCGGCTCCACCAGGAGTGCAATTGGTGGACGGCAGGCCACAGAAAATTTTTTATTTTTTTAATTCGTTAAAATTGTAAAAAAAAATTACCTGTGAATTGGAGACCTCTTTCCCGGTGCCTGAGAATTGTCCCGCCATTTTTTCGGATTTTTTCAAAGTTTTTTTTTATTCAAGTTTGGTTTAGTTTTTTTTCCTTTGTTTTGATTGGTAGTTCTGATATGTAATTTTAATTTTTTCTGATTTTTTATTTAAAAAAAATGAATTTTTTATTATTAAATGTTAGTAAGGGCAAAATAGTCAATGTAGGGTGCGGTAAATATTGAAAATGGGTGCGGTAAATATCAACAGTACCCAAATAAATAAGACCCCTTATATAATTATCATGCATATATCAATGGCATATAATGTCATATACTTCAATACTTCAATTATCACCTGAATATGTCAATCTTCATGTATCCCTCCCTGTATATTAATTAAAAACGTGTTGAGCCTAGGTGACAGATTCTCACGCGTCGGATGGTGATATGGCGAACATCTATGCTTCGTGATGTTGTTTTTATATTATTTTTGCTCTGGAGTTAAGTTTGGTATTAGACATAAATAACTTTACACATATATTCATTAACTTAACACCCCTGTTGTACATGGGTATTAATACTAGTATAGTTTTAAATCATAAAAAAATATACTACCTCCTATTTTTAATATATATCGTTTTGAGAAGTTGAGCGTTAATTAAGAATATTTTTTTTGTCAATAATAACCTTATTTAATGAAGATAGAGATAATATTTTGAGAAGAAAGTGAAGAGTGAATATAAAAAGACATAATGTATTTATTAGCTAA